AGCACTGCGGGCACACTCTTTTTGGTAAATTTTAAAGAGAAACAACAGCCTAAGTACGATGTCACACTGAAAGATGTATGTCGTACGTCACATTCTATTTTTATATCAAGTTCTATCTCAGGAGAACAAGAGTCCTAAGGCAAAGACTTCAAGACAAGATCTGCCACCTGGATCCTGAGTGACAGGAGAACCTGTGCTGGATGGAGAGAACTTCAGGTTCCACCACCTTGTCCTTACAGAAGAAACAAGTCAGGAACGGAGCCCTCCAAGCCCGACTCTCCATCTTGGTCCCATTTTGCAGCGTGTGGCACGCCCTCTTTGAGAAAGCGCCTTATGGGCTCTTCATACATATTGGTTATGTAGTTCAATGTGTATTTAAACACATATAATTAGTGGACATTTAAAAACAAAACCTTGTGATTTCGTAAATATTAACGGTCAGAATGAGGTGAAGTTGAATAGGTGCATTTCAAGCTGATTTAAAACATCAGGTGGCGAGGACTATACAAGACTGTGAGGGGCGCCTGGGTGGCTCAATAGGTTGGGCGGCTGCCTCTGCCTCAGGTCATGATTCCAGGGTCCTGGGATCGAGCCCCGCATCGGGCTCCCTGCTCAGCAGAGGGCCTGCTTCTCTCTCCCCCTCTGCCTGCTGCTCTGCTTACTTGTGCTATCTGTCAAATAAATAAAGTCTTTAAAAAAAAAAAAAAAAAAGACTGTGAATGTGCTGAATACCACTGAATCATCTACTTGGGGGAACTGTTTAAGAAGAAAATTTTGCATTATATGTATTTTGCCACAGCAGAAAAAAAATTAGGTAAAGAATAGTTTAGGTGGTACCAGATTCAGGAAAGACCTGAGTGGCAGGAATAATGCAGGAAGCACCCATTCCTCACAGGAAGTGACCCTTCATGGATCGTGCTGACCACCTCTCCGGGAGCAGTGAGTTACCAGTAAATCCCCCCACACCAAGACGGCGGCTCTAAGGAGGGCCAGGCTGCAATGGTTCACCCACCACCTGGGGGAGCCACAGAGCTGTAGGCTCCCCAGGTTCCGAACCCTCACTAGAGCCTTGAGGACTGTGCAATCGTGTGGCGAGAAGACACTTTAGGTTAACTAAAGCATATTTATTTGCTTTTCTGGAGTATTTCTCCTCAGTCGTGGTTAAGAGAAAGGGTTTGGGAGGTGGGCAGACCTGGTTTGATTCTTAGCGCACACCACTTTCTAGTGGGCAACACTTTTTTTTTTCTATTTAAGGGGAAGAGAGAGAGCACGAGCGAGTGTGCATGCGTGTGCACACTAGTAGGAGGAGCAGAGAAAGGAAAGAGAATCTCAGGCAGACTCCACACTCAGCACAGAGCCCAACCTCATGACCCTGAGATCACAACCTGAGCTGAAACCGAGAGTTGGACACTTAACCGACTGCACAACCCAGGTGCCCCAATCCAATTTCTTTTAACCTCAGTTTGCTCATCTACAAAATGGGAATGGGAACAGTAGCTCCTTCCCAGGGATGTTATAAAAATTAAAACATATAACATGTATCAAGTGTTCCCCATAGCACTTGGATTGTGGCAAACAATTAACATTAGCTAGGATAATTACCACAGAGTAATACAAAGTTGTCACTTTTAAACATTTTTTAAAGATTTTATTTGAGAGAGAGCTCTAGTGAGACAAGAGCGCAAGCAGGGGTAGGGAGAGGGAGAAGCAGGCTCCCCTGCTGAGCAGGGAGCCCGATGGTGGGCTGGATCCCAGGACTCTGGGATCATGACCTGAGGGGAAGGCAGACACTTAACCAACTGAGCCACCCAGGAACCCCTCTTTTATTTTTATTTTTTTAAGATTTATTTATTTGACACAGAGAGAGAGAGACAGATCACAAGTAGGCAGAGAGGCAGACAGAGAGGGGGAAGCAGGCTCCCCACCAAGCAGAGAGCCCGATGTGGAGCTCGATCCCAGGACCCTGGGATCATGACCCGAGCCGAAGGCAGAGGCTTTAACCCACTGAGCCACCCAGGCGCCCCAGGCACCCCTCTTTTAAACTTATTTTTAATGAACGCAAATGAGAAAGCACTACTCCCGAATGTATTTGCATTTGGAACTCTTACTTCACAGAACATTTCATGGGCTAGTACTCAGTGCAAGTGCCACTGAGAAATGCTCCTCCAGTCACCTCCACAAAGAGGGGCTCTGAGGAGGCTGAGGCACCGCCCACCCCACAGCCCATGCGCTGGTTGCAAGCCCCCACGCTGTCAGTCCGGGGCTGAGCCTGCGGTTCTCGGATGCCTGAGGAGGCTCAGATGTTGGGCTTCACTTAGGAGCCTGATCTAGAATTTGAGTAGTAAACTAAATCTTAGAAATGCCCTTCTGTGACCTTGTTCTGAGTTCAGGATGAGGGGGGGAAACGTGCTGAACCACTTTGGGGTGGAGCATGAAAGGCCCAGAGAGGGGATTTGCACTCACAAGTTTGGCCAATTCTGCAGTGTGGTAACCACTATACTAGAAATGGAAGAACCACAAAAATTAAGGTTGCCAAAAAAGTTTGAAGGTGCTCCTGTGTCAGCAGGGACACTGTCAGAAGAATGGAGGACAACGAAGAAGGTAGTTTTCTGGGAGAAAGTCTGTTCTTGCAGGAGCCTTAGGCGAGTTTAGTTTCATGAAACCGGCACATCAAGATGAAATCTTACCAGGATCTCCTACCCCTTCCTCAGGGATGCCACCAACCCCCACCAGCCTCATGGACCCCACTGACCACCCCAACAAATCAGTAACAACTCTGAAGACATGAGTTCTTCTCAAACAGTTTAATAGCAAATAAACAAAGGAAGGTACCACACTTGGCAGATACAAAATGACTTTTTGTCCGTGTGTCTGTGCAATTAAAACAGATTTCGGTTCCCCATTGGGACAAAAGGAAAAACACACAAAAAAGGAAGGAGATTCCTTTTAAACACATACTCCCTTGCTCCAAACTTGTAACATTTTTTTTTTCTTTTTTAATCCACTACACAAACTCTGTGATCAGGTCAGAAAAGCGACAAAGGCTCTTCTTGCCTTTTTTTTTTTTTTTTAAACCATTAAAGTAAAATCCATAATTTTCTACATAGTACAACACAAGTTCACACAAAAAAGACATTTTCTTTTGCAAATCAAAACAGGAAAGAAAGGAAAAGCTCAAACAAGGTAAAGGAAAAGCATTTCTACGGCTGAATCACGACTTTTGAGTTGATTGAATCCCGTTGTTGCTGCAGAACAGACTGTGCGTTTGGTCATAGTGGCAATTTTTTTTCTCTTCACATTGTGAAATCACTTTACATTGTTTTCTAGTAGAAAAGGCAAAAAACTGTACAAAACCCCTAGTGTTAAATACAACGTTTGTACCAATAAAAAACTCACACAGGTTTGTCTCCAAAATGTAAAGTTTCTTTTTTTTTTTTCTTTTTAAATTATTCACAAAAAGCAGCTGGAAATCAGAAAGGCAGCTGCCACTCCAGGGTCTCAAATCCATTAAAACCACCACAGAACAATTAAAACAATCAGAGAGAGAAAAGAAAAAGGAAACAACGTCCAACGTTTGGCATTTGGTTTTATCCACAGGTTTTCCCAGAGCTCCTCTTGGAATTGAAAGCAAAATATATTGGCAAACACGGATTCTGAATACACAGGAAGGGGAGCCTCAGCGCCTTCTGCCAACAGAGGCGGCTCTGTGCAGTCAGACTGTGGGGTGCACGGCAGTCTTGCTCAGGCTGGGGTTCCTGGCCTCTTTCCACCCAATCACCCCTTCCAGGAAATTAAGCAGCCTACCATACACTGGGTCTCCACTGGCCGCCCTTTCTTCCTAGTAAGAGTGGCCTCAAGCATACTACTAGGCAACCTGCGGGTCCCAGAGCAGAAATTCTGCCACGATCCCTTCCTTCATCAACCCTTGCGTGGATGATGCTAACAGTGCTTCTACCTTCCCCATCCCCCCTCCCACCCCCAGTCCCTCGGCTACCCCCTCTTCACCCTTCCCTGGATAATCCTACTTCCCAGCTGACCCACCCACCAGCAGCTTAGGTCTGGGTGGAATCCATCACAAACTCCTCCCTCTGAAACCTCTTACCTCCACAGATCCATCCTGTGACCTCTAGTCTCCTCTGGCCTCTCCCTCCATCATTCACATTCTTACTCAAAAGTCCCTAAGACCCTGAGGCTGGATGGTGCCACAAGAGAGGAGGGCAAGTTCCCTTCAGGGAACCAAGGAACTGGCTTGCCTGGCACCCAGGGACAGTAGCTATTTGGCTCTTCACTCAAAAAAAAAAAAAAAAAAAAAAAAAAAAAGAAGAAGAAGAAATCCCTGCCCTCACACCCCACCCCACTAGCTAAGCAAGAGCAGAGCTATGGTGAAGAGCCAGTGTGGGGTAGGTGGTGCCCAGGGCTGTAAACAGTGTGAAGACTGTAGTATTGTGCTTGTCACCTAGGAAAAGCGCTGGCAGGTATGTTGCCGCTTAGTGCACGGATGGCCTCCTCTGAGTGGTTAAGAGCACCCTCCTTCTTCAGGGCTGGGGGCGCTCACTACCCTATGTGCTAAACCTCTTGCCCACCCCCTACCCCCACCCCTGCAGCCACCTTCTGGGTTCTATCTCTGCTCCTCATGCCTCTCCAGGCCCCCTTCCCACCCACCTCTGAGCAGAGCAGCCAGCCTCCTGGGGGGCCCCCCCGCTGAGGCCTGGAGGCCACACGAGGTGACAGTCTAAGTGCACAGGCAAACACTCTAAGGGCAATAGAGGAGAAAGTTGCCACTTCAAAATAAAACAATACAATCTTGAAAAAAATAACCCCACAACAATTTAAAACAGCTTCTTTGAAACCCTTTTAAATCGGTCAGTTTTTGCACAAACTATAGAAAACAGAGAGGTGAAGGTGATATATACGAAGGTGTAAAGAAAACAGCAGGAAACATGCAAAACTTGTTTTTTTCTGGGCATAATCTTAGTAGGAAAGGAAAAATTAAAAACAAAAACACAAAAACCATACAAAAACAAAAACAAAACAAAAAAAAATCAAAGCATCACATTTTGCTGTGGAGACTGTAGGAACAAGCACGGAGGTGGGCACAGCGGGGCTGAGGGGCTGCTGGAAGGGGCCAGAGGGATTTGAAGGCTCCCTGCAGGGTCACTACAGGGAAGAACCACAAAAGAAAAAGAAAAAGGGCTGGCTGGGGCCCAAACTGCAGCCTGCGGTCAAAAAGGAAAGGGGGTTCAGGTGTTTTCTGCAGTTGAGAACTCAGAAAAACAAAAGAACACATGCGGTCTCCTCAAGCCCCACAAACTGTATCAGCAAAATGTGCTCAGGAGCCTCAAAGGTTTTAGTGACATCTTTTATTTCATTGTTTACTTCAAAGTTGTCTTTAAAACTAAGCACACAGAGAAACAAAGCCTAGAAACGGACTGGCTGTGTGTTCACAGAAATACAAACACCACGCGGTATGTGCTAGTAGGGCTGCTCTGAAGACAGTTACAAAGAATTGGAATCACAAAATCAAGTGGTTATCTTATGAAGTTCTAGAAAAATAGATTTTTTTTTTATATTCAAATGCAAGTTTAAATATTTCCCCTTCAGCAGTCGTTCTAGCAAAACCAATTTGGCAGCACAAAAGAAAAAAAAAAGGAAAAGAAAAAAGAAATAACAAAGAAAGAAACAAACATAATAAAAATACACGTCAGCATCAAAGGTCAACACAAGGTCAAAGGTGAGAGTTCAAGCATCAGAGAAGCTGAAGAGACAGGGATTTGGACGATGTACTTGACGCCACATCGACATGCTTTAGGCACAACGATGAACAAACGGCAGGAATCTAGAAAAAAAAACAAACCAGAAAGAGGGAGACCCACTGAGTTACACAGAGCAATACATCCAAACAGAGAGAGAGAGAGAGAAGAGGAACACTCACTGTGTACAGCCCTGAAATGAGGAGGCGGGCGGGGCGGGGGCTGGGGAATGACAGGGAACTTTTGCACATGCTAACAATGGACACAGGGAAAAGTCAAAAAGGACATGGAGGACACCAAGAAAACATCCAACTGCCAGAGACAGAAGGGAACCTAAGGCTTGGATTTCCCCTGAGGCGCCCAAACAAGTCCGTAGGGGGAGAAGATAGGTCTCTGGTGGAGCAGAGCTCCAAGCTCTCCCCTCCTCAAACCCAGGAGAAAGTAGAAGACAATGGCTGGGGTGGGGGAAACTCTCTAGGGGAGAGGGCCAGGATTTCTCCTCAGTTCTATGGGGATGGCCTTTTGTTTCCAGAAATCCAAGCTCTTAGCTTCCATGCAGGCCCTGGCCACTCATGTGGGACCCAGGAGACAGTATCTGGCTGCATTCAAGGCAAATCAATTTCATGATGAAACCCAAGTAAGAAACAAAACTATAGGCAAAAAACACATTTCTGTAAGTGAAACCCCCACACAACAGGAAAGGATTGCTTAAGACCTGACTGCTAGTCTCCACTCTCCGAGCCGAACCCTTCCACACCAGGAGACTTGCAGGGCAGCAGCTTCTTCACAAACCATCTTTGGCCTGGGGAGAGAACTGTGCTCGAGGGCAGTGCTACTATGCTCACTCACGGGGCAGGGGAAAGGAGAACAGAGAGAAGTGCCTGGTCTCACCAGTTGGCCACTACGGCAGCCCAGGGCCCTGCTGTGGCACACACTCCTTTTAGAAAAGAGAACCCCACAAACAGGTATGAAACCTCTGGGTTTGCTATCAAAGGCAGGCTGATTGCACCTTTGCCTTTCATGTTATTCGAAAAGCCGTTTCATAAGATCCCAGAGCCCAGGACAAATAATAGTGGAATGGGGGAGGAGGGGGATGGGAGTGGAATTCTGGGCTTTGGAAAACCCCACGATGGCCAAGGAGGAAGACAGAACAGAAGGTCAGTTATGGCAGCACCGGCAGCACCCTGGGGAGCACAGCTCTCTCCTCTGCCAATTCACAGCATTAACTCCTTCCCCTCTGGCAGATTATTAGCTGGGCTGCAAACGGGCCACGGAGAGTCAGTAGTTTCAATCATACACAGCACCCTGTGTGTACAACAATCACATTCTGGATTCTACAAAATCCTGGCCTTTTCCAGAGATATAATTTAGGTAATAAATATTCTCCACCCCGGAGCTGTATAAAACTTCTATAAAAATAGAAACGACATTCTTGGTTCCAGCCGGTTGGGATTCAGAACAGCGCCTCCCCAACCTAGCATTTTTTTCTTTTTTTCTTTTTTCTTTTTTATTTTTATTTTTTGCATTTATTTAAAAAATCCCATCATGACCCTGGAAGCCTTTGGAACAGTTTTATCCTTGAAACACAGGACACATTTCTCCCAGTGCGCGGAATTCAAGTTTACGTGGTTCAGCTTAAGAAGTATGTTTCACGTCTCTTAGAGGACAACAGACCCAAGATATCACTATGAGAAGGGAACAGCTGTCCCTGCTTCAATGGGATAATCCAACACCACCAAACTACCTGTACAACAGCAAGATGGTTAATCCCTGTCTGTGACCCAAATGGACAGCATGACAAGGAGAGAGCCCCCCATCTGACTTAATACCAAACCAACCCCTTTAGTCTCATCTCTACTAGGGGTCAGGACTGATGTTTGTGAGGTTGAAGATTGCAAGGACCCAGTCCCCGGCCTTGGCTAAGAGTCAGATCCCAACAGGGCTACCTCTGCCCAGGTGCACATTCCCAACAGCACGTCCTTTCTGGCTCTCCACCCCCACAGCATTTCTTGGAGCAGAGGCAGGGCCCAGAGGCTGTGTGGGTCACAGGTAAGAGCTGGAGTAAGACCTGTGGGAGGCAGCAGGGAGCTAACTGTAAGCACGAGGACAAAAATGAACATGGTAATACTGAGGTAAATGAACATGAAATCCATCTGGAGGCTGCAAATGTCCTGCGGTCTCCTCTGTCCCCAAGAGCAGAAGGGGCTGCAGTGGTTAGTAGAGAGGCCTGCCTTGGGGGGAGTACTACAGTTGGGACCCCTCAACGAAGGAAGCAAGTGCAGATTTCTCATCCTTCTAAGTAGTTAAGTGCTGGCCACAGAGGAATGCAGCACTCTGGCTTAAAGAGCCCTTCCGATTCAGGTCCACCAAGAAGCAGGCTCCTCCTCCTCCCCTAACGCAATGGCTTCTGATCACTCTGCTCAGGAGAGGTGCCCCCTTCAGCTACATACCGTAAGCCCTTCTTGGATTTACCCTCAGGAGAAAACTGCCTTGGGATGGAAGTGACACTCTGCTGTGGTCAACTACAAGGAAGGAAACCAGACAGTGTCGTCTCCAGAGGCCTTGTTTAAAGGGCCTGTTAGAAACGGGCCGTGTGGTGTTGAAATACACTAAAAACACCCTCTCTGACTAGACGAGACTGGACTCTCTTCTTCCTAACAGCCACCAGCCGGGCAGAGCCGATCCGACACCAACAGGCGTCCGGCAAAGCCGGTGGCGCGCGATGTCCCCCTGCTTTCTGCATGTCAGGCTAATTTAACAGGTCCTTCATTCCCAAAGAACGGTCATCCCCTTCTTGGGAAAGAGGAGCAGGAATCTTGCACAAGAATCTGAAAAATAGGTGGCAAGAACTCAGCAGGCAGCAAGGGAAGTGCTTCAGCCTCCAGCTCCCGGGGCCACTGGGTGTGGGTCAACTCTCCTCACCTCCAAAGGCAGCCCTGCTTCCACCCCCGAAGGCTCTTGGGTGCCAGTTCTCATTTCACCCACTCTTGCACTAAGGTAGATTCTGGGGTCAGTTTTTGGTTTCACTCAGTCCTCTCTCTCGGGGCAGTTTGGGGAAAGCTCTGATCTTTTTTAATGTTTCTCCATTCCCCCTCCTCCCCCAGGGCGGTTTGATGTTGGTCCTTCTCAACACACACTGGTTACAAACACAGCAAACTTTAAATAAAGAAAAAAACTCAGGATATGGCACCTAAACTCCAAAGTAAAACACTGGAAACCAAAGCACAAACTCGTCCTCTGTACGAAGCGAAACTCCCACAGAAGGCAGTAGCCGAGTCTTCAGGGCAAGCTGTGCCTGCGAGAGTGGCAGGGATCAGGGTCCAGGGCTGTCAACACACAGCCTTAGGGCTTCGAATCATTAAGGGTGCTCCTCCCCCACTTACCAGAAGACCCTCTCACTCCAGTCTCAGAGGGGAGCACGCTCAGTAGGGCTTGCTGTCATTCTTCGAACGTTTGAGCTGCACTTTAAGCCGCTTCATGCCAATCTGAAAGCCGTTCATGGACTGGATGGCAGCTTGAGCCGAAACAGGATTGTCGTAACTTACAAAACCTGTGTGTCCAAGCAGAACCCTGGGTGAGGGGCATGATGAAGCAAGGAGATTCTGAGTCCTCCCTACACAGAAGACAGCTTATGAGCATAGTCTGATAGTCCAAATTTTTCAGCAGGGATGAGAAGTCCGGAAATTATATCACACGAGATAAGATTAGGTTCCTGACTATACCACTTGACATCTACAAGGCACTTTTAAGTTTTTGGACCAAACTATTTCCATACCTTTTTTTTTTTTTTTTAAGCTCTGGAACAACAGTGTGGATAGAAACCCACCATCCTGCTACAGAAATGAAAAAAAAACTGAGGCTCAACAAGAGGTCATGATGTCTTGCCCAAGGCTGAGTTAAACAGTAACCCAAACGTAAACCCAGGTCTTCCTGCTATCAGCCCCTTCTCATTCTCAGTGGTAATGACACTTAACCCTCCCAACACCAGTAAAGAAGCCAACATACCAAAACACTTGCTCAGGTTTGTCTGCTTGTCTATGAAAACCTTGGCAGACACGACATTCCCAAAGGGCATAAACATCTGCAGCAAGTCCTGATCTCCAAACTCCTGGGGCAGGTGGTAGATGAACAGGTTGGCTCCCTCTGGACCTTCAAAATACCCATCGATTGAAAAGGCATCAGTGTCAAGCTCACCCCCCACTCCACCCGCCCCCACCCTGGTACCACTGTTTCTCATTTCTACCTGAGTTAAACTGTCTATATCCTGGCACCCCTGGGTGGCTTGGTCAGTCAAGCAGCCAACTCTTGATTTCAGCTCAGGTCCTGGGTCCTGGGATCGAGCCCCGCATCGGGCTCTATGGGGAGTCTGCTTAAGGATTCCCTCCCTCTGCCCTTCCCCCAATTCTTCCTCTTTCTCTCTCCATCTCACTCTCAAATAAATAAATCTTAAAAAACAAAAAAAACAAAACCTGTCTGTATCCCAACAAACAGAATCTTTTGGAGAACTAAAGATTCTCCAAATACAAAACAGGAAACTGAAGAGCAATCACTTCCCACTGAGGGATATCAGAATTCAACCTTGTGGGAGGAGTGAGTGCAAGAACAATTAAGTAGGCAGACTTGTGTGTGGTGCAATAAAACTGGAGACTAAAGGCTTATACAGACACAGAGAAAAAGGGCAGAAAGAGATTACAAACAAAACAGGTTCAAAACTGTGCCAGAAACTACGGGAAGAGCAAAGACTGGCAGCTGCAACGCAGGGGTGGGGGCAGGGAATGACTACAAAGGGACATGATGGAATTTCTCGGAGTGATGGAAACATTCTCCATCTACGAAATGTGGCTACATGACTGTACATGTTCATTAAAGCTCACAGAGCTATATATTCCCAAAAGGGTGAATTTTACCATATGTAAAGTGCACCTCATTAAAAAAAAATCACATTTTTAAAAAGTGCCCATGTTTAACACTGAGCTCAAAAATAAAATATGCTTTCCTTTTCCAACCACTTTACTCAATGACTTTCTAACCAAAGAAGACTTACTGAACTGCAGTCCTGCCATTTTGCAGCCACCAGGCCTCCCTGCTGTTGCCAAACACAATACAGAACAGTGCTGCCTCAGGGCCTTTGCACTTGGTGTTCCTCTGCCCCCATTACTCTTCTTCCTCTAGATACATGCATAGCTTGTTTTCTTACTTCCTCTGGACTCTGCTTAGATGTGAAGTAAGAGGCCTCTGACCATTCTACACAAAATGCTGTGCCTCTGGCACTCTCCATTCCTCTTTCCCATTCATCAGTCTTCAGAGCACCATGTGGTACACCCCATGCTCTTCCTGCTTTACTGTCTGTCTCCACAGTTTTTCAGTTCCCCCACTATGACTTCCTAGGGCACAGAAGCATCTTGACTCAGAGCAGGTGAGGATGCACTATCCCAGGAATCCTCGCTGGCATGGCAAGAGAGGATATGTGTCTTTCCCCCACATTAGTGCTTAAACCTTGCCAGCCTCTGGCTACAGAAATCCAGTCAACTAGGAGCACAGAGGTGTTGGCAGGACCGTGTATTCATGCGAACCACTGTCAGGCCTCTTTCTGTCTATAAAGTCTCTCCTGCACTTAGTATCATTTATGTCAAAGCACACATTTCCTAATTCACCAACGTGGGCCATTAACTCTTTCTGCCACATAACTTCAGCCTGTCCTCAATTAGGAAAAACGGAGATAAAAAAATGAGGAAAATGCCAAATAAAAGAGCTTAAAAGGGACACCTAGACAGAAAATACCCTCTGACAGATCTGTAATCCACAAAGACGACTTCCTAACAAATAAAAAAGGACTGTGAAATGCTATTACACAGTAAGGTCAGTACGTTTCTTCACCTAAAACCTGCAGCCTGATCACAGGAGGGCAGAGGTTCTGATCTGAGCTACAACCAGAAAACATTCCAAAAGGAGACTACAGTTTACAGAGCTTTACAGCTTACAGAGTCTATGTCTGACAGTGCCAAAGAAAAGCATCAGCCTGACTGCCTGACTGGTCCTCCTGGCCTTTGCCCTGCCTTCACCTCTGTTGTAGGTGGAGTCATCTCCCCCCTGCCCCCTCCTCCCCATCCCTAACTGTAGCCTCTCAGCTCTACTCACCTTCCTTCTGGCTTCCAGCAGCGCCAATACTCTGCTGTGTCAACAGGTTCTGGTTGTACAGAGTGGGGAGTGCTGCAGCAGCATATTGCTGGATCCCCGAGTAGGCCTGCGTGAGGGCCTCCATGGTGCTCCCGGTGCCGTTGGAAAGGCCACTGCTCCCCAGGCCACCATTTAAAGCAGCCATCCCTTCGTGGTGGGAAGAGCAGGATTAACATATGGGAAAGACTTGAGTGGCACCAAAACAAACTCCAAAGTTCTCCATTTCTCTCTCTCTCAGCTCCTCCTTGAGGAGGACCACCCATCTGAATGGTCAGATCTGAGGACACTCATCAGGCCTTATTGCTCACAGGAACATTAAAAAATGCCACACCCACATGGGGCTCTTCCTCTTACCTTTTTCCAACCTGTGCAAGAAGTGATACCACTTACACCTGACTTGCTCCATTTTCTCTGACTTTTCTGTCACTTTGTCACTTAGAGCTGGAATGTGATAAAATAAGCATCCCAGGTTTGGGTGCTGAAAAGGGGCGTGTGTGGTCTCAGACAAGATGTGGGTAAACCCTATCGTCAAAATAACAGCAATATTTATTTAAACACATTCTACATGCCTGACACCATACTAAGTCATGTGCTCAGCACTTTACCTATGTTCTCATTTACTTAACAACCCTTAAAGTGTCCTCTTCCCACTTCGCAGATGAAAAAATGACCTTAGAAAGGTGGTATTATGTTACAGTTAGCTAAGGGGGAGAGGTGGGATTTAACTCAGGTCTAACTTGAAATCTCATGATTATTTCTAACTTTACCAGGCCACCCCATTCAGTCTAATGGTGACCTACCAGGGTTGTTTAAAGGTGCTACCTGCACAATGAACGGCCTGATCACATCAGGGGCTGTCCCTCACCTGCCAAAGAGCTGACATTGAGGCCTGCCGTGGCTCCAGCTAACGTCTGCAGGGCTCCAAGGGAGGCGATGGGGTTGACAGAGCTGCTGCTGCTGGAGCTCGGTGAGGACCCTGTGATCAGAAAGCCAGGTGTTAAAACTCGAGCCAACACATGCTTCGCATGTCAACAGGAACCAAAACACGAGACTGATACTACTCAAGCATTCTCTTCGTAAAGAGGTTTTCAGTTACTGACTCCAATAATTGTCGCTGTAGGATATAAAGTCAAAGACAGTTGTAACAAACTAAAAATTATGAGATTTCTCTTAAGTCAGAAGATGACATTTGAAAATTAATTGTTCACAGTCTGACCCCTTTGGAAACAGATGTTAACTACTCTCCAGAATGACAGAACCCTCTCTGGGGATTCTGCCCAAGGCACACAAGGGCATACTAGTTCTAATGACACACTTACCTGAACTGGTGAGTACGCTGAGGGGACTGCTGGATGTAGTAAGAGCATTGGTACCACTTGGTGTGTTCTGAGCTGCACTAGCTGCAGCGGCTAGAGCAGCCAGATTCTGTAACTGCATTGCATTTAACCCTGCAACATCCAAAGCAAGAGATAAGCCGGCACATACGGGTTCCTTGTATCTGTTCCAGCAATGACAGCACACACTGGTAAAGGCTGGTCCCAAAGAGGAACTATTCTCGATAAGCCTTACAAGCAACACTACAAGGCTCTAAAAAGATTCAGATATCACTCAACTCCTCACGAAACTTGACATCATTTCCTCAAGAGAAGAGATATATAATCCAACAGCATGCCACCCCAAGTGAATATTCCTAACAGGGACTGGCAATTAGGAAACCAAGAGAGGGTTAAGAACTGCGGTCCACCACGAAGCCAAGTGACCAAGAGAACAAACGACAAAACTTGTGGCACAGAACAGAACTGCATCTGAGCCCCTCACTCCTACTGCATAGGGGATTTGCTCCTTCCAGTGGAGGTTTACAGGCAGAAAACACAGCAGGATCCAGGTGACCGAGGTGGGTTGTAACAGAGGAGGATGCATGTGAGAAAAGCAGTAAGGAGAAAGACTAAAGAAAAACCACTCCTTGAACAGATTACTCATCAGAAGGAGCAGAAAAAAAACACTGAGGGGAAAAACCTCCAAGCAACAGTTAAAAGGAGCAAGAATCTGAACTGCACTGACTGTGTTGCAAACCATTTGCCAGATGATGGAAAAGCAGATGGGTGGTGGTGGTTCAGGGGAGAGTTAGCGAAAATAAAAACTGAACTACAACACAGATTTATAATCTAGCAAATTTCCAAAAACACAGCAAACTCCAAGTACCTGATACAAAGTGAACCACTATCAAAAATTTTCAAATACCAAAATGCAGTTCACCCGACACTAACTACCCCTTTCTCAAATGTACTTGCTGAGCCTTTATCCACCGCAGAAGGGATAGCAGCAAGGGACTCTGGAAACGCTTCATTCCCCACCTCCACTAACTTGTCTGATGGCCCCACCTTCAAATTTGTCTGTGGAGCCCCATTTTGTCATCACTCAAGTATCTTTCAATTAAGTTTTCCATGTATGTTTTTTTTTTTAAGATTTTATTTAATTTATTTGACACAGAGAGAGAGATCACAAGTAGGCAGAGAGGTAGGAGAGAGAGAGAGGGAAGCAGGCTCCCTGCTGAACAGAAAGCCCGATGCGGGGCTCGATCCCAGGATGCTGGGATCGTGACCTGAGCCGAAGGCAGAGGCTTTAACCCACTGAGCCACCCAGGTGCCCCAAGTTTTCCATGTATGTTAACAGCATTAACAGCAATAAAAGGTAATTCACCTAAGAGATAACATGCATAAGACACACAGAAAAACTAACTGCCTAGTTTCTAGCAGTTTCTGGCCATTTCGCATGGATGCCTTCTTAGGCTTCAAAGAGTCACTGGAAAAATCACTTTACTGGGGAAATAAAAAGAGTTCCTGCAATTTCCTCCTTATCAAAATGGCCTCAGATAGTCTACTCGAGCTAACAGCTCTTCTCCATTTTCCTCCTCAACGGAGATTTAAAGGGGTGGGGATCAGACAACCCCAGAGCTATCCTGCATAGCAACTAAAAGAACCACCTTCCAGAGACAAAGCAGTTGAGACGTGGGATGTTCATCTTACGTCAGGTTTATGAACAGGTGGGAAAATTTGTTTTCTGTACAAACGGTGCAAAACTCTCAGACTGTCGTTAGCTGGGTCTGGTGGCCTGGTTGCTGCTGCTCCTCCACAGCCGTGAAACACTTACCTCCCATTGGATGGAGGCTGCTCAGGGTGTTGAGGTTCCCAGAGGAGGCAGTCTGCTGAAGGAGCTGCAAATAAAGCTAGACATTACACCAAAAAACAGAACAAGAGTGAGAGTGAGGGCTGGTTCTGCATCTGGGATAACTCTACAGCACAGCAAAGCGAGAGTGCAGAGGCCCCCAGAGAGAAGAGAGTTGAAGACAAGAACCCAAGCCAACACAACAGAAACATGAGGCTTATGACAGCACGGGACAATACAACAAGAGCTAAAGCCCTGGCCCAGAAGACAATTCCATTCACTGAGTACTGAGCCAGGCTCCAGTCCCTGGGAAACAGAAGGCAGCACAGCAGAGGACAGGAGGAGGGCAGAGAACTAAACTCAACTCAAGCAGCTTTGCAATCCACTGCAATGAGCATCTGCACATGGATGACTGCCACTTCTAGTACCTCTCTCCCAAGCTCTCCTTAGTCTGGGCCTCACATCTTATCTTGCAGACTATTTCCATCTAAAAACCCAATTCCTACTTCAAATATTTTAAATATCAAGTCTAACCATTTTAGGGTTCTTTCTTGGAGTCATTCTTTGCTGATCACAACAGACCCATGACTAATCAGTCTTTCCACGCTCTCCACACATCCTTCCAGCCCCACTTATCTCCTCCATCCCAAATTGGTCTCCACTGTTGCAGATAACCAAATGACTGACAGATCAGTTCAGTGTATATTCTTACAATGGTTGTCACCTAACAAATACAACAAGAGGGCCTGTCCATGAGCTTATGGATCTTCGTGACCTTATTCACTATCTTAGGATATAGCAACCTTTGTCTAACAAACCTGCTGAAAACCTCTGATCCATTCAAAGCCAATCACTTTTCCTTATGGACAACGGATATTCCTGTTTCTGGATCCTGTATTCAACCTGGTTGCTCATTCCCATAAACACCTGACCTAGTTCCTCTGTCATCATGAACCCCATTAGTCCAGAAAGGTTTCAGGAGGTCCGCAAACCTCCAACATAGAATGAAAAAATGTACACGCACATAATTTTTAACAGCCTTTCAGAGGGGTCCACACCCCACAAAGTTTAAGAACTACTGCTCTAGTCCAAAAGAGATCAGGTTCAAGTCCACCTATTCCAGAAAGAACCTCATAATTAATGATAATATACCATTTATATACCCATATGTCTTTATTTTTGTCTGAAATACCTCAGGCAATGTGCTCGATTCCAGCTGGTGGACTGTGCATACTATACCTGGCACCTTCATTTCCTCCCTAAATGACAACAGCTCTGAGGGCAGGGATCATGTCTAACTAAAATAAAGAGACCACAGCTCTCAACAAACACCACCACGCACTGTTGGGTGCGGCAATGGCAATAAAAAGGGGGTCTTCCCTAAAAAGAGCTTCAAAACTCTCTAAGAAAAGCAAATGCATATCATGGAGATAATTTTAAACATATTATCATTTTGGCAAAAGACTAAAAATCTCTCTGAATTTTCTGAACTTACAAGCTATGTTCTTGCACTAAGAAACAATTTAATCTGTTGAGATATACTAAGCATCTTCATTTAAAAAAAAAAAGATGTGTGATTTTTTTCAAAGAAGATTTTATTTACTTGAGAGAGAATGAGAGAGTGAGAGTCAGAGAGAGCATGGCAGGGCGGGGAGGATCAGAGGGAGCAGCAGATCACCCGCTGGGCAGGAAGCCCAATGCAGGACTTGATCCTGGGACTCCAGGATCATGACCTGAGCTGAAGGCAGACGCTTAACCAACTGAGCCATCCAGGCGCCTCCCCACCCACACTTTTTGACTTCAGAGAAATACTAGCTGGGATTTCTTCTAACATTTTAGAAATATAAAGGCCATTATTTGGTATCAAATTAGCCAAAACTCAGTACTAAGCAACAGAAATCATTGCCTTTCTTCTGTTCCTATATAGAACAACGTTTTAAAGGATGAGGAATGAAAGACTGTAATTATTCTTATGTGTATATTTTTGGGACTATACATACACATCTAACGGTTTCACCACCGATTTTCCTTCGGTGATAGCTTCACAGATGAGACAGTTTTAAGCGTCTTGCGCTGTCTGCTATTCTTTTAAGGGTTAAAGCAGTGGTGATCCCCTGTAATATGTACCGTAGATCTAGAGAATCTAAATAACAAACTGGAGCCTTTGGACTACACGACTCAAACTCAACAAAAGCAAGATCAAATTAAAGGATCTACCTATTTACAATGCTGTCTACAACTCAAATAGACACCTGTAATACTCATTTAATAATGTCCATGTCAATATCTTGACCTCTTAGTCAGCGGAAAGAAACATTTATCATACTCTTCAGGGAGGACTCGATAAGGACTTTAAAGATACCTCTACATCTGGGAGAAAGAACTATGGAGAAAGATATTTGGCAGTTAAAATTTCCTCAAGATCTTCTTTTAAAAAAAACTAAAGGGACAGGGACATACAAGGTATTTCTAAATCTTTCTATCAGGAAATCAGGATTTCACTTTAATAGTAGCAAAGTCTCAAGATATAACCCAAGATGTGTAATGAGAGAGAAGAGAGAGATGGTAAAACAGATATACTAACATAAAGAATATTGCACTGCCTGAAGTTTTACGAAAAAATTTGACATGTTCAAGTTGCAAATGCCATTGTGTCTATTAGCTAGGGACAGCACAAGAAGAAACAGCTGAGAGCTTGCACAGTCTGCAGAAAGCAAACCACAAAGACTCACTGCTAAATACTGGGGTCCAAGAGTATTTAGACCAGCAAGGTTTCCCCACACAGATGCTGCGCTGATTTGCTGCATCTGCTGCTGGAGCTGCTGGGCCATTCTCTTCTGTTCCTTGTCCTTCTGCGTATCAGCAAATTTTACCACCATAGGAGATGAGCAACCCTATGAAAACACCAAAGCCAAAGGGTCAAATTCCTCCTTCTGCATGAAGGAAAAAAAAATCCTTCTTTGTAGTGACACACAGGATGCATTCTAATTTCATTCACTGCCAAATGACTCTCTTCCTGATAGACACAAGTGGCAAAAGACATATTTAAAAGGACTACTTCAAGTACGTTAATTTCAAAGAGAGCATTATTATTATTATTATTATTTTCATTTAAGATGTTTAGCCTGCTTAACCTTTAGGGCAATCGGATGCTGTACATGCTGCAGAGCTTTGATGGCCAACTGTCCTAGTACTCTCAGGCTAAGGAACTTTCCCTTTTCAGTCATCTGCTCCCTACCTCCATGGTCTGTGCTTGGTGCATTGCCTTGATAGCCGTCTGTGCCATGGCTCTTGTTGTAAAAGTCACAAATGCACAACCTGGTAAGAGAAGTGTCAATAACTCATTCATTCATTTGCTTATTAATTATCTGATAGACATTTACTGAGCACCTATTATGTGCCAAGTACTATGCTAGCAATACAGATATGGTTCCTGCCTTCAGGGGGCTTAAGATCTGGTGGAGGAGACAGACACATCATAACAGTGCTACGTGCTTTCATGAATAACCTGGGAAGCACAACAGGAAAGAAAGAACTCGATAAAGGGATAAAGGAGGAATCACAATCCTCTAGTTCCTCTTGAGAAGAAAGTGTTCCACTTTGGCATTAAGGACCTCTCCAAGCACAAAAAGAGAAAATTTTAACACATGAAACTATAGTGCAGAATGTAGACTCCTTAGGGGGCTGGGACAATTCTAAAGGAATCAACTGGTAGGAGGAGCCATGATGGGACCTAGACTTACAACACCAAGCCCAACCTCTCCATCAAGACAAGGCGATGTTGGGTAGGGATCATTGGTTTCCACAGGTCCAACTAAAAGAGACTCCAAATTTAAGTATCTTTAAAAGCTAGAAATATACCTACCTCGGCTCAGTCCATCAGGTCCTCGTAATATCCGGCATTCTTCAATCTGTCCAAATGAAGAGAACATGACTCGGATGTCATTTTCAGTGCACTTCTTGGAAATCATACCAATAAACAGCTTCCTGTCTTCCACTGCTAAGAGAGTAAAACACGAAAGGCTTGAACATTATAACTACAAGACGTAGTGTAGCACAGACTCTGGGGTCAGACTGTCTATATTTGAATCCTGGCTCTATGCCTATATATCATATTACCTGGATTCTAAGATAAGCATTTTTTCATCATTTAGCACCTCCTCTTATAATCAATTGTACCTTAAAATTTAAACAGGAAGCATTTAGATGACATACAGTAGTTTTGTCATCTTGTCAAAGTTACTTAGCCATTCCATGATTGTCACCTGATTAATAGGGATAATGACGTTCATCTCAAAGGTAGCTGTAGGGCTGCCTGGGTGGCTCAGTGCTCAAAGCCTCTGCCTTCAGCTCAGGTCATGATCCCAGCGTCCTGGGATCCAGCCCCGCATTGGGCTCTCTGCTCAGCAGGGGGCCTGCTTCCCCTTCTCTCTCTGCCTGCCTCTCTGCCTACTTGTGATCTCTGTCAAATAAATAGTAAAATCTTAAAAAAAAACCAAAAACAAACAAAAAAAAACAAAGGCAGCTGTAGATTTTAAATGCAAAGCACTCAGCATCTTGTGTAGCACTTAGTGATGTTTGTTCTTACTAGCAGTACTACTGTACCAAAGGACAAGTTTTCACACTGACCTGATATGACAAGAGAAACACAATACACCTTTCAGTGAGTGTAATTGTCATTTTTCTTTTTTTGATTCATCTCTTAAGGACTAAGTTCTCCTCCTTAGTCTGTCCATCCTCCCACCCCCATTTCTGTCCCTAAGAAATTATGTTGATAAAAGACATCCCATTTTATTCTAAAATGTTCTTATACTATTTACCTATCAACTCTATTTATCTCGTTATTTACCGTATTTAAGGAAAAAAAACAATTTATTATCATTTTTTTTTAAAGATTTTATTTATTTATTTGACAGAGAGATCACAAGCAGGCAGAGAGGCAGGCAGAGAGAGAGGAGGAAGCAGGCTCCCCTAGAGAGCAGAGAGCCTGATGCGGGGCTCGATCCCAGGACTCTGAGATCATGACCTGAGCCGAAGGCAGCGGCTTAACCCACTGAGCCACCCAGGCGCCCCTATTATTATCATTTTTAAAGATTTTATTTAGGGGCACCTGGGTGGCTCAGTCAGTTAAGCATTTGCCTTCAACTCAGGTCATGATCCCGGAGTCCTGAGATCAAGCCCCAGGCTGGGTTCCCTGGTCAGCAAAGAGTATGCTTCTCCCTCTCCCTCTGTCTCTCCCCCTGCTCGTTCTGTTTCTCTCACTCTCTTAAATAAATGAAATCTTTAAAAAAGACAAATATTTGAGAGAGGGAGAAAGTGAGTGCAAACAAGAACAGAGATAGAAGAGAATGAAAACACTAACTCAAAAAGCTGCACACCCAGGGCACCTAGCTGGCTGAGTCAGTGGAGCATGAGACTCTCCATCGTGGGGTTGTGAGTTCAAGTCTCCCACTGGTTGTAGAGATTATGTAAAAATAAAATCTTACCAAAAAAAGCTGTACACCCATGTTCACTGCAGCATTATTTTCAAGAGCCAAGAAATGGAAATGTGTCCATCAACAGATGAACGGATAAAGAAAATGTGTGTACACACATACACACACTGCAGATATTATTCGGCCATAAAAAAGCATGGAATCTTGTCATTTGTCACAACATGGATGGACCCTGAGGGCATTATGCTAAGTGAAATAAGTCAGAGAAAGATACTGTATGCTCTCACTTACAAGTAAAACCTTAAAAAACAAAACACACACACACACACCTGGAAGTTCACAGATACACAGAACAGGACTAGTGGTTGCCAAAGTTCGGGCATAAGGGACTGGGGAAAAAGGGCAAAATGGATCAAAAGGTACAAACTTCCCATTATAAAATAATTTAACATGGTCGCTAGTTAACAGGACTGTACTGTATATTTAAAAGTTGCTTAGAAAGTAGATCTTAGGGATGCCTGGGTGGCTCAGTTGGTTAAGCGGCTGCCTTCGGCTCAGGTCATGATCCCAGTGTCCTGGGATCGAGTCCCACATTGGGCTCCTTGCTTGGCGGGGAGCCTGCTTCTCCCTCTGCCTCTGCCTGCCACTCTGTCTGCCTGGGCTCGCTCTCGCTCCTCTCTCTCTGACAAATAAATAAATAAAATCTTTAAAAAAAAAAAAAAGAAAGAAAGAAAAAGAAAGTAGATCTTAAAAATTCTTATCAAAAGAAAAACATTTTTAGAACTTTGTATGGTAACAGATACTGACCAGACTTACCATGGGAGATCATTTCTAATATAAACAAGGACTGAATCATTATGCTGCACACATTTTGTCACTTAGATGTCAGTTAAAAAAAAAAAACAAAAACAAACGATTGCTTAAAGCAAATACAATCCAGATACCATCAGAACGAATAGTAAACTAGAAAAAACCTAATCAGGGGAGGGCTTTACACAACTGCTTACCATTGTTCTTCTCACTGTCGGCAGGCTTCATCTGTATAGGGTGATGCATCTAAAAAGGAAAACACATACATATCATCACTGTACACACTGAAGGCACAGAAACATAAATGAGGACTCTAAAGGCAATACTGAAACTAGAGCCTTAAGAATCTTCTCTGGCCTTACATCTGCCTCATGATCATTCCTTCCCAAAATATCAAAATAGACAGAATGAGAATCAAGAAGTCAAAATTCTCTTGGCTAAGAGAGAACTAAACCACTTTCAGCCTATCTTCTTTGAAACGTTCCCTTTTTGTTCTCCTCTGTATCAATGACTCTGGCAGTCACCTTTTCCTCAAAATGGTTCTTCAGTATGTGCCTGACATGTGTAAGTATGTTCCGTATGTCAAAACCTCCACAGTTCCACTTACTGGTAGGAGAATTCTTACCCCTGGGAGGACCTTCATGTTGTGAAGAGCATTCTGCGCTTCTAATGCAGCTTTGCGGGTGTAAAATGTAACAAAACAGCACCCTGAAATAAATAAAATTTCAACAAATCACCTTTGAAAGCAGGCAATTCCTGGAATACTCCCTCCTCCATGGATATACTGGAACTTCAAAGAGAAAGCTAGGTTTATGAAAATTAGCAACCCTCCCCCCAACTGCTTCCAAGAGAGAGAAGCAGAAAAACCCTTACATTACTCTCTGTGCATTTTCTTTATTGTTACAGTCTGTGAGTTCTACTAAAATTCTTTAGCTGCTCCTCTAACTTCTCTGGGAAAGACAACTTCCCTTACCAATGTCATAGTACCATGTCATCCAACCCACCCTACTTGGAGCACCAGGTAAGTGTGCCGGGCAAGACATGCAGGAACAAACAAAAGAGACAGGGCCCTGCATTCCTGTGACTTGTAGTCTACCAGGAACTCATTCTTTCTCAGAATAAATCCCTCCTTACGTTGTAGCCAATTTCTACCATATGCCTCAAACGTAATTATCATTTATTAAGTTATAAAATGACTAAAGAGCAAGAAACTCTTAATATCCTTTTTTGGACCCTTGGTTTTAATCAAATATAATTAAGCTTCTAACAGCACATGGCCCTGACTGAGGAGATCTGCAGATTTTGTGCTTTGTATCTTTATTAGGGACAGGAAGGGAGAAGTGCGTCTTATAAATATGGGTTCCTAGTCCCACGATACACAATACTGATTCCTTTCAAAATCACTGCAATTAAGATTCTAAATCACTGCATGTTATATCACCAGTCATTTTCAGAAACTACAATTCTTTTTATTTTCGGTTAACTATGCCACAAAAAGAAAATAATTTCTCTGCTCCTAGATCCTGTTACTAAGCTGGCTTCAAACATAGCAATCCTGCTTGCTCCCATCTGCACTGCAGAACAGCTTCCCCAGATTATTATTCTGAAATCGGTTATTTGGAAGGAATACTGTAGGTGCACGTACAGGGCAAAGCTAATGCCTTTTCTACCACTGCTTTCATAAAGCTTCCACTCTGGTAGGTATCATGTAGGTTACAACAAACAGGTTACCTACAAACAGGTCCGTCCTGGTTGCTAAGCCATCCTGCAAGGCCTCTGTAACACTAACAGAAATCCACAGGTATGGTGTAGACAGTCTTTTTCTTTCAGCTTAGTCTAGCCAAAACACCAAACAAAACCTTACGCAGTTATTTATTTCAACTTTGTCATTCCACTCCCAAGATTAAGAGACACTCACATTTAAAAAAAAAAAAAAAAAAAAGAGAGACACGCACACACTCAGGAGTCTGTCTCCTGAATTTAGAGCTCTCACAAAGGACCACCTACAATCCAATTTACAAATTATCTTCATGACGTCACCTTAACTTTTTATTTTTATGCCATTAAATGTGTTTGGTCTGGAAAATGTAACTACTATAAAAGGACATATTTCCTCCCTTTAGAATGTGAACAGAGGAGCATTCTGGCAACGAGTGACAGCACGCACAAGACAGAAACTACCTATAAAACCCAAAGCCCTTACCTTTGCTCTGAGGAGGGTTTTGGCTCCTATCCCTTAGGACATTGATTTCATAGACAGCACCATACTGTTCAAAGAGTTCCCTCAAATCCTTCTCAGACCAGGTCCTCGGAACCTGGCCCACAAACATCTTGATAGCATCAAGATCCGGTTGGTCTGGGTGGTCCAGGGTGCCGTTCATTTTCTTTGAGCTGCATGAAACAAAATACAGCTTCTTTTACGTATTCACGGTGCTCTCCAGGGGGATGTTACTTTTTTTTAAACATCTCAACTACTTTCTGAAAAAGTAGGGGGAAAGAATTCTACTCCTTTTTACTATTGCCATTCAATATACCAGAGGTCCCCCATCCTCACCTTCACCCATGGCCACGCCTTCCATTAGATCCCAAACTCAAGTCACATTCTGATCAGGAAATCTGGGTTTTAACTAAGGAACTAAGCAGCACTCATTCCTTGTCTAGCATGAAAATTCTCAGAACTTAATAGGTAAAGTTTCTATGCAAGTTTTCATTGTTTTGAAGCACAGTTAAGAAAACTTTTTAAAATATACATAAAAATCAGAAAGGACTATTGATTATGGATAAGATTCAGGACTCCCGATATATACATGACAGGTAAAAGTTTTCTTTTAGTAGATTTTGGAAGAGAAGCACTTGATTTCCAAGGCCTGAGCTAAGAAAAGAGTAAAACAATGTTGGCCTGGGGCGTCTGGCTGGCTCAGACAGTAGACCATGTGACTCTTGATCTCAGGGCTGTGAGTCTGAGCCCCACCCAATGGGGGAGGGGAGTAGGAAGAGGGAGGAAAGCAAGAAAAGCTTTGCCTTTTAGACTGTCACAATCCTATCACATCAAACTTGTAATGATCCTACTAAAATACCTTCATTTTTATCCCTCCACTGCCAAAAACCTAGGGTGAGTCCTTCCTGGACTACAAATATTTCCAGAATGAATCAAAGTCCTTCTCCTACCACTGCCCAAGATCTTACTCTTAGCATTCATCTCAACCACTAATTTAAGTTTGGAACTTAAATTCCAAACAACCAGCATGGTTAACTATTCTGTTAGTGTGTGCTTAATCCAGAAATCGCTTCATCATATTCAAATTTGCCATGTCCTAATATCAACACTAAATAAAACACTAGTTTTCTAGCAAAACAATAGCTTTTCTACCACTGCTATCTTCTTCTTTTTTAAAATTTATTTGAGAAAGAGAGAGAGAGAGAGAGAGAGAGAGCATGAGACATGGGAAGGTGAGAGGAAGAAGCAGACTCCCCACTGAGCGGGGAGTCCAATGCGGGACTGGATCCCATGACCCGAGCTGAAGAGAGTTGCTTAACCAACTGAGCCACGCAGGCGCCCTCCCACCACTGCTATCTTCTGAACACTATTTGAAATCCCTGAAAAGACTGAATCTCCGCAGGTAGTTCAACCTCTGTATTTTAATTCCTGTATTTCTTTTTTAAAAAGATTTAACTGATAGAGGGAGTGAGCACACTGCAAGCACGTCCACAAGTGCTGGCGGAGGGGCAGAGGAAGCAGGGGAGAAATTCGAGCATACTGTCCACTGAGTGTGGAGCCCCAGGGCTCTATCCCATTACCCTGAGATCATGACCTGACTGGAAATCGAGTCAGATGCTTAATGACTGAGCCACCCAGGAGGCCTGTTAATTCCTAAATTTCTCATAACTGAAAACCCCACAGGGGCTATTTACACAACACCTGGGCTGAATCTAGCACTAAATATCAAAAGTCTAAGACAAATGGCATATATAGAGCAACTCTTATCACGGTATCTGTGAAGGTTTCCCATACTTTCAGGTTAGTCAGCTTCGTCAGGACTCAAAGAGTACTAAATTTCCACCTTCATTATAATATTCCCATCTTTTAGCATCATCTGGCAGTTATCTCCCTCTCCCAACTAGACTGACAGTTCCTTGAAGGCAGAAAGTGTTTTATTTGCAATTCATTCTTGCAGCCACCCCTGGCATAGCACCTAGTTCAAAGAAGTATTCAGATGTGCCATGGGAGCAATTTCGTGTTCTCAGTAACTCCCCACTGAATTTAAGCAACTAATCCTGATAAAAATGAATGTTGTGCACAAAGAGGGCTCACAAATTAAAGAGCAGCTAGTATCGCCTGTGATTATTTGATTCTCGCAGGATCAATATTCTTTTTTGCCCAAGTGTTTTGAAATGCACTGTTTTACTGGCTTTCCTTTACTAATTCAAAACTGTGTGAGGCAATTTTTGTAAAAATATACTTGTAGTTGCTTTTAGAAGCTTAATCACAATATTCTTTTTTTTTTTTTAAAGATTTTATTTATTTATTTGACAGAGAGAGATCACAAGCAGGCAGAGAGGCAGGTAGAGAGAGAGGAGGAAGCAGGCCCCCTGCTGAGCAGAGAGCCCGATGCGGGGCTCAATCCCAGGACCCTGAGATCACGACCCGAGCCGAAGGCAGAGGCTTAACCTACTGAGCCACCCAGGCGCCCCTAATCACAATATTCTAACAGAACTCATGCTACTATGATTTAAAAAAAAAAAAAAAGTCCCATGACTAATGAAACAATGGTGTTCGCTCCCTACAATTTGCCTCCAACAAGTTCAATTACCAGCTTTAATATGATTTTATTAAAATGCTGCCAGTCTTTAATCATATTTCTGTTCTAAAGGAGGGTTAACTGAGAACCCAAATGGTGCTCAGAATATGTTTTGATGATAATGATGTTGACACTATTTTTGAAAAGAGGTGGAGGTTTATCAATTCATAATTACACTGGAGGCAACAGCTCTGTCTGTCCCTTTCTTTTGCATTTGTGTGCCATTTCTACATTTTCTACATCACAGTTTAGTGCCAAAGCATAAGCAGAGTCAATATATATGAATTATGGTTTATCCAAAAGTATAGTAGAGACTTGGCATTCTAGATAAATGCCCTCCCTTTCTCTCTTTACTCTCCAAATCCTTCTCCGTTTCTTCACGTCCACCCACTCCATGTACCACTCTTCCCCCCCATCAGCGTGTGTACCGTTTCATTAGCTGGAAGAATCCCCTAGACCAGGGCTATTCAAAGTGCCCAAGGACCAGGGGAAATCTTCACACTTAACCCTTTAGAAACTTCTACAGCAATTGAGCTAAGTAATTTTATATATATTCAATCTAGTGATAATAAAAAGATACAAAATGCTGGGGCACCTGGGTGGCTCAGTGGGTTAAAGCCTCTGCCTTGGGCACAGGTCATGATCCCAGGGTCCTGGGATCAAGCCGCATCGGGCTCTCTGTTCAGCAAGGAGCCTGCTTCCTCCTCTCTCTGCCTGCCTCTCTGTCTACTTGTGATCTCTGTCAAATAAATACATAAAATCTTAAAAATAAATAAATAAATAAGATGCAAAATACAAGCTTACACCTTATTAGTTTGTTTTTCTACTGAACTGTTTTGAACTGTGGTTTATAAGTTGGGTGGTAGCAGGCATAGAACACTGTCCTTCACCAATCTGAGAAACACTTCTAGTGCACAGCAAATTAGGCCAGGTTAAGATGCCGTGGCTATCAGGTAACTAGAGTTTTTGCACTGACTTATTCCTTCCTCTAACAAATACTGGGCACTTAGTTATATAAGCCAGACACTGTGTGAAATGTGGTATGTATCGGTGAGTAAGGAAAATGTGGGTAATCAACTGTTACTATGTCAGAGAACAATGTCCTATCCTCAACCTTCCACACATAACTCCAGTATGCATGTTGTCCTTAGTTAAAAGTCACCATTGCACAAAAAAGTCACCTGGGGACAAGACTCTCAGTGTGATATGGCAAGGAGCCCACAACACCCATGTATGGCATTTAGTCTATATGTCACTAAAAACACTTTCAAATGTGTGCCTTACCTCCCCATTGATGGAGAGCTCTACAGAGTCAGTGGTCATCAATTACTGGTATTTATTATGCGTATTCAAGAACCATAAATTCAGCCCTCTGGAGAAATATCTATCCTGTCCCCATCACTCCTAAGAGGCAAGTCTATGGAAACTCTTATCCTTTGTGAAAGTACTGACCTGAGAGCAGAATGGAAGAGAGGAAAAGCGGGGCCTGTAGCAGTGAGGTAAGTAGAGAGAGGAGGAGGCAGCAAGTGTTTTAGAGGACAGGCACAGCACCAACATAGCTCTTTTTATGTTTCTGTTCCTGGCAGCAACTGGCAAATCATTAAGAATGAGAAATTATGAAAGATCAGGACCAGAGGCTGCCCTGTCTACCCTGATTCTTGATGGAACACGCCAAAGGAAAAGAGCAAAACAATTTGGAAGAGAGACAGGAGAGAGAAAACAAAGAGCTTTATTTCTAAAGTACACATTTGTTCAGAATTCTTGAACCCTCTCTTCTCTTTCTCCTATCGCTCTCTCAAAACTTTCTGGCCCCAGGCCCAGCTGAGGAGGGCAGAGTTCATGTTCTGTCTCCCTCTCCTATCCCTTGGCCCCAGCTAACTAGACCAGGGGGTGGATCTTAACCCAGCAAACTAATCTACTGGCTAGCCAGAAATCTAAGACCTATTCCTAAAACAGAAGGACAGGACAGGCCAATCAAGTTCCTTATGGCTACACAGAGCAAGTCAATAGGATTGGCCACTGGCTACTGTATAGGATAGCAGAGGCAGAGAACATTTTTATCATCACAGAAAATTCTATGGCACAGAACACTGCTCTAAAGAATCTGGAACTGGTTAACAGAAATAGGCAGTGGTGAAGTCAGAAGCAGGAAAGCTGCAACTAGAGAAAGTGTAAGTTGACAAGATAAAAGGGCACTAGCAAGAGATAACAGAGGTCATGCTACACATCGATGAAGGTTGAAAACATGATGCCAAGTAAAAGAAGCCAATCACCAATGGCTATACATTGTGCGATTTCTTTTACGTGAAACTGTCAGAAGAGACCAACCTGTGAAAACAGAAAGCAGGTTAGCAGGTGCCTAGGAATGGGAACCGGGGGTGGGGAGGATGACTGCTAATGGTTACAGGATTTCTTCTTAGGGTGATAAAAGTTTTCTCCAATTAGTGGTGACAAGCTGCACAACTTTGTAGATATATTAAAAGTCATTGAATTGGGGCACATGGATGACTCAGCAGGTTAAAGCCTCTGCCTTCAGCTCAGATCCCAGGGTCCTAGAATGGAGCCCTGCATTGGGCTCTCTGCTCAGCAGGG